GCCACCGCAGCCTCGGCCTGCTGGGCTCCGGTGATCCTTCCGCCTCAGCCTTCCAAGTAGCCGGAATTACTGACATGCACTACCACGCCCGGCTGATTTTTTGATTTATTGTAGAGATGAGGTCTCGCTGCCCAGGCGGGTCTCGATAGTTTATGCTTTTTTAACGAAAAAACACGCATTTTTAACGAAGAAACACGCATTGGAACCTATCCTAGGATCAGACTGTGAACACTTTTCATTAAATAATTACAGTTAGGGAAAGAAAAGGGGGAAATGGGCTTCTCTGCTTGTTTTGTACTGCCTCATTCAAGGTCCTGTGGTTGAGTTGTCTTTTGTTTGTGTGTCACCTGACCTAAGGATAAAAGGTTATGAAGTTTAGAAAAAAACTAGAGTATTTCTAATATTGGTTTAGTACCTGACCTGAGGTAAGAGTAAGTCAAGAATCTGTGATGATAATTCTCCCCCTTTCGTCCTATCTTCCATTTTCTAAACTCAAGTTGTGATAAAAGCAATTGAGCTGTAGGTAAAAAAAAAATTTCTCCAAATCCTTTGCATCGCTTTTAACTTGTGTGGTTCAATGGCCCCTAGAAGAGACGTTTCCCCACCTCCCTTCATACTTTTTAATCTTTGTTTACCACAAAAAAAAAAAAAAAAGGAAGAAAGGGAAGGAAGGAGGGAGAGAGGGAGGGAGAGAGGGAAAGACAGACTAGTTGAGAGGTTCTGAACCCTGGCTGTAAGTTAGAATTACCTGGGGGCTTTTCAAACTCTTGATGCTTAGGCTGCATCCCATATTGGTGGTGTCAAAATTGACGAGTTCAAAAACTGTTTTGAGCAGTGGAAAAAGCGTCATGATAGGTGTATTGCATCAAGTAGAGAGTACTTTGAAGGTGACTGAAGTTCAAACGTGGGAATAAAATACACAACTTCTAATAAATAAATTCTGGGTGTTTTAGGTTCCCCCTATATATTCTGGCTATGCAGATAAAAGATTATTTCCCCTTTTGCTATGTATAATGATAATGGGCATTTGCATTTTCTCAGATGAAGCAAGTTATAAGAAGTTTATTGTATCAGAAACTAGCTTTGGACCTCTTTTAATTTGTTTTGAAATAGAGAACTTAAGCTACTCATTTTTATTTTATTTTTTGCATTGGTTAGAGACCTGCAGACTTCAATCAGATGGATTCTCACACCCATTTGTAGGTGACTGCCTCTGACCCTGTTGCTCATCCTATTTGCTCAGCAAGAGAGCCTGGTGATTTTTATTTGATAATATACAAGTCTTGAGATTTGGAGAATTAGTAGTCCACCTTGAAACTGACTTGCTTTGTGCTTTTGAGAAAGCTACTTCGATTTGTTATAAGTCTGGTTAACATATATCTTTTTCATTTTGTTTCAGGGACAGTTGGATTTTTTTCCTGTTTCTTGTTTATTGCTAAAATCTACAGTGTGGTGAAAGTGGAGTAAAGTATTTCCCCAAAGGCTTCCAGGCACATCACCATTACCTTTGAATATCTATATATCTACAAGACCATCAATAGAGATATATATGTATGCCCCTAATTACATAAATTTAAAGTATATATGAATGCAAAATCTCATTGTCTGGCCTCTGTTGTATGAAACAAAATACCGATTGTATGGAAGAAAACAGGTTGGGAAACATATTTATTCTAAGTCATATTTTCCTGAAAAGACACCACAAAAATATTTAATTTAAAGCAATTAGAAGCTGAGCGCGGTGGCTCATTCCTGTAATCCCAGCACTTTGGGAGGCTGAGGCAAGAGGATTGCCTAAGCCCATGGGTTTAAGACTAGCCTGAGCAACATGGCAAAACTTCGTCTCTACAATAAATAAAAAAATTAACTGGGCATGGTAATGCACACCTGTAGTTCTAGCTACTTGGAAGACTGAAGTGAAAGAATTGTCTGAGTCCAGCAGGTTCAGGCTGCAGTGGCTGTGAGCATGCCACTGCACTCCAGCCTGGGTGACAGAGTGAGACTCCAACTCAAAAAAATAATTAGTAACCCACATTTTTAAAATAAAAAAGTAAGTAAATAAATAAAGCAATTAGCGAAAGAGAGGCACATTTCTTTAAAAATTAAAGTTGCGTATCACACTGGTTTACAGCTGAAATTATTTTTCTTCTTTCTTCCTCATATTGCTCAGTGTCTAATTATTCCGACATAACTATTGTCAAATAAATCTTATGTAAAACGTGCATTTTTCTAACTGAAGTTTATTATACAAATTATGTTACCTTTGTATCTGGGTAATCATTTTAAAAATATACATTGGTTTAGCATATAAAGTTTGTGGAGTATCTTATTTCTCAATTAAGTCTGCACATTTCTGGTTGCTGAATGTCTATTTCTGTCTACTATCCTTTGAAGGCTGAGAATGTCCCAGTTTGACTTAGTTGTATGTAGATAATAAATCTTTGGAGTCAATTTTCTTGGGTTTATTTGCTTTGATGAAACAATAGTCAAATATCACAGCTCCCAAAATTTGCAAATATTCTTCAAGTTTGTAGTTTTGGGGGAGCAGTCATGAAAATCACACTTTTAGCCAGGTTCGGTGGCTCAGCCTATAATCCCGCGCTTTGGGAGGTTGAGGTGAGTGGATTGCCTGAGCCCGCGGGTTCGAGACCCACCTGGGCAACTTGGCGAGACCTCATCTTTACAATAATTCAAAAAATTAGCTGGGCGTGGTATCGCGCGCCTGTAGTTCCAGCTACTTGGAAGGCTGAGGCGGAAGGATCGCCGGAGCCCCGCAGGTCGAGGCTGCGGTGGCCGGGAGCGGCCATTGCACCCCAGTCTGGGCGACAGAGTGAGACTCCAACTC